TAATAGTCCCGGCAATGGGCCCTGGGTGTATATCTATTTGCAGCATCGGTTATTCGTGAGGATTTCGAAAATTTTCTCTGACCGGTGGGAGCAACGAATAGAAAGAAGTAAAAACAGAAGGACTGAAGAGGGTGGGAGGGAGGGGTGGCGGGAGATGATTCGGCAGGGAACGGATAAATGAATGAATGAAAGAAAAAAGAGCGAAACAAAACAAGAGGGTATGAGGAAACAGGTGAATCGATGCTAGCCCTATGTACGTAAACCAGGTACGTACCTAGTCGTACACAGGGCCCCGTGCTTACGCGTAACGAAATACGCACCGTACGAAAGTTCATTAAATTTACGAAAAACAGCATCGGCAACCAGCCCCGTAAAAATGTCAAATTTTCGGTCGAAAAATCCCGAGACTCGATTACCAGAAAGAAGTGTAAAATTTATCCGTGACCTAAAGAATTTCAATGGATCATGCCTATACCGTCATACTAAACGCGGAAACATCAGTCACGAGCATGGCCGACGGTATACCTAACATATCGAACTTTGATTCCATGGGTGTTAGCCATAGGCGTATAAAGTAATTGGTCACTCCCTTAAGCCGAGTTTTAATTAAGTCGCAACTGCCGGTTGTATACACGTGTCCAATGAGACAATTTCCTATTCTCATAGTTTTTTTCAAATCCAATCATCGGGAAACAGCTGTAATGCCTCGTCCCATTAAACTTCTCTTTGTTTTCCGTATTGCCATCCGATACGGCCGCCATTGCCCGACGGGTCGCGCCAAAGTAAATATATAATAAATATATAATAAAAGTCTTGCGCGCGCGTGCATTAAAAAGTGAGGGACTGGATGTATGTGCGAGGTTATAAATTATAGCGACACCCGCTATCTATATCCAATGTAAAATCGTGAGAAAGATATACGGCTAACAGATCGAAGAAAAGCTATGGAGACGTCGGGGAGCACGCAGCACGGGGTAGAGATGCCCTCCTCTAGTGCCAGACTGAATAAATTCGAGTTCGGAGCCGCTAACGACCGAGCGTATAAATAAAACGGTCGAATCTCCAAGGCGAAACGTCGCTGACGTCTGACGGTGCAGCAGGGGCGAGTTCGAAATATCGAAACGTTAAAATGGATGGTGAGGATAGGGATTAATAAATAATAGAAAATAATATTAAACTCTAAGCGAACGGACGTCGTAGAAGCCACAGGGCATCTTCTTGGACGGTTGCTATAGGCTTTGGTACAATTTTCATATATATACGTGTATATCGGATATAGATGCCTTTCGTATATACAAACGGTTATACGTGCATATGAATATATTTCAGTGGCAGATACCGTGTATCTATGTAAGGAATCTCAATATGGACTCGGCGTACGTACCTATTGTGCTGGGGACTTCTGGACTTTGGCTAGACGATACAGTTTCTTGAGGTGGCTGGTCTGGAATGCGTTTGACAAAAAAAAAAAAAAAAAAAAA